CAACCTTAATGATTCTCTGATTCTGTGAAAGGAACCTGGATAGTGACTGCCAGTGCCACACAGTGGCTTCATGAGCTGGCCTTCCTGACATCCCGCACAAAGAGAGGCTTCATGTTAGAGCTCTGCGGTATTACCTGTCATGTTCTGGGTCATTTTTGGAACACCTTGATTTATTTGAGACATCCTTAAACAGCACTGAAGCCAGTTTTTAATGTAATGATCAGAGCAAAATCTCTCTAAGCTGGGAGGGAAATGCGCATATACTAACGTGAAGAGTTGTACTTGCTGATTCTCTGTCTTGGGAGACAGATGTTTTTAAAAGAAAAATGAGATACTGCCTCACTGAATTTAGTCAACTTCCTTGAGAGAGTTTGCTTATTTTTTCTGCTAATAGCTCTTCTGATGACTCTTTGTTTTAAATTTTTAAAATCTTTATCCATTTTTTGTGATGTGAAAAAAATTAATATGTCGTATATATTACAGATATACTTTATGTAGTGCTATGATTGGTTTCTTGGCTTTGATAGTAAAAAACATATGCAGTAACTATGAATCAGAGACCTCACAGTTAAAAAGAGCTCTACCAAAAAAAAAAAACAACCCTGACTGTATTTTTAAAGTGAATGCAATGCTTGTATTACTCTAATAAAGTCTAGCAGCTATAACAAGCCATATAAAGCTGCAAATCATTTTTATAAGGAGTTCATATGTGTCCAAATGATTAAAGACTTCTACTTCAAACTATAAAAAATTAGAACAATTGGAGTCCAAGATAGGATATTGACTCAGGTGTTATCAAAATCTATTTTTCTGAGTTAACCTTTCCTTAAGCAAAAGCAATATACTTGAGCTTTCCCAAAAGAACATGTTTCCTAAATGATCATTCATCACTTTTCTGATGCCTGTCTTCTGCAGTAGATGTAATTGGCTTCTGACTGTTATTGAATTGTGGGAGTCTTAAAATTTAAAACATCACAGTGACTTAACCCAGTGCTGTTTTGCAGTGTGTTTGATAAGGTGTCTGTAGGCCAGTAACCTTTCTGGTCAGCATCCTGGCACCAGTAGTGAACGGTTAGTATGGATCAACATCTGGCAGTAGGGAGGTGGAGGGCAAGTACAGCATGGAGTAGATTCTGGTTCTGTGAGTCCTCTGCATTAGGAGTTGTTCAATTTTAACATCTACTAGTGATTTCTAGGTGGCTTTGGAGTACAGTGTGGGAAGCACTGCCTCTTCCACAGACCTGGGAGCACTGATTATTCTCACCTATTACCAGAAAGTGAAAACTGGCTGGGAAGGGCAAAAGAGAAGCAAGGGGGAAGTTGAACTGCAGGAGTCATTGCTTGGCAAAACAGAGAGAGCAACCATGAAGATAAATGTGTTTGGGGAAGGAGCTATTCCAAGGCTAGTAGCTTAATAACTGGGGGAGACTTTGTGTTTATCAGGTAATGACAGCAACTGGAGATACGGTGGTTACTGCAGCAAGTTGCTGCACTGGAATTGTCTAGTGAAGAATTCCTGTTTGAAATCGAAGATGTGAGGAGTGGGCATACACAAAAAATATGAGGGCACAGTCCCACTATGGAGATATTTGAGGAAAATGTATAGTCCTACCTTCCTTCCCCCCTTTCCTTCAGCTGGTCTCCATTCCCTATCAGCTGCAAGGTTTCCACACCTGAAGGTTGGTGGAACCTGGCAGAAGTCCCAAAGGAGGCGAGAGCATTGCTCGAGCGTGGGCAAAACAGGAGGGGGGAGGTGAGCTGGAAGTGTGGGGCAGAGTGGAGCACGCTGGGACTGGAGTCGGCCCTCCCAGGTATGTTATGCAGCTGAATGAAGGCTTCTCGGGTGCTTTCTGCCTTCTGTAGCATTACCTGTTTTCCAGAGTTATGAGGTGATTCTAATGGTTTGACACAAAAATATATCGTTACTTCTGCATCAGTCTGTTTTCTGGACTACCTTAACCCTGCCGCTCTGAGTTAGTGCGCTGTGTCTTCCTCCATCGTATACCAGCGATATACTGTGGGACGTGCCACTGGCAGTTCCAAGTGTCTGAAATGGCATAGGGCTCTGCTACACCCCACCAGTGACTTTGGAGCGGGAAGCGGAGGGGTGCATGGGGCATGCTCTCAGCAGGGTTGCAAAGGAGCGTACAGGTGCTTGAAGGTGCAAATCCTGTTGGGTCAGTGCTGGAAGCGTAGAGGGCAGTCAGTCTTGTGTGGTGTTACCCATTCTGCCTTTTAGGAACAATTTATGATAAGCACTTTCTCCCACATCATGTTGTCTTTAAGCATACTATTTGGCATGAATCAAATCCATTCCGAGGAGCTACTGTGCTTGACTGATTCCTGGACTGATGGGAACCCTGTGAAGTTCACCAACGGCAATTGCAAAACCCAGCAGCGGGGTTTCAATAAGCCTTGCAACAGGCTGACAGGCTAGAAGGTGGCTCTGTAGTCTGAGGAGTACCTGGTGGACAGCAGTGGTGGTGTGGCAGAGGCAGCCGACAGCAATATTGGGCTGTATAAGCAAGCGTGTAGCCAGCAGGTCAAAGTTGGTGATTATTCCCCATCATTCAGCAATTGTGATGCTAGAGCTGAAGTATTGCTTCCAGTTTTGGAAACAGCTTTTTCCAGTAGCACACTAATACGAGGAAGACATTGACATGAAAATGGTCAGAGGGCTGGAACACCTCTCCTGTGAGGACAGGCTGAGAGTTGGGGTTGTTCAGCCTGGAGAAGAGAAGGCTCTGGGGACACCTTATCACAACCTTTCAGTACTTAAAGGGGGCTTATAAGAAAGATGGGGACAGACTTTTTAGCAGGGCCTGTTGCAATAGAACAAGAGGTAATGGTTTTAAACTAAAAGAGGGTAGATTTAGACTAGATGGAGGGAAGACACTTTCCACGATGGGGGTGGTGGGCACAGGTTGCCCAGAGAGGTGGTAGATGCCCCATGCCTGGAAACATTCAAGGTCAGGCTGGACGGGGCTCTGAGCAACCTGATCTAGTTGAAGATGTCCCTGCTCCTTGAAGGGGGGTTGGACTAGATGACCTTTAAAGGTCCCTTCCAACACCAACTATTCTGTGATTCTATGTGGCAGTGAGTCCGGTATACCAAGATGGTCAGGGGGCTGTAGCAAATTACATACTAGGAGAGGCAGGGAGAACTAGGTTTGTTCCGCATTGAGAGGGCTGAGGAGACATCTCTCTGCTGTGCATACCTAATGGGAGGGTGTAAAGAAGACAGACTCACCTGAGGTGCCCAGCGGGAGAACAGGAGGCGACAGACACAAGTTGGAATGTGAGAGTTCTCCCCCAACATAAGAAAAAAATAATGTTTAACATGAGAGTGGGTGAACAAAGAGATTGCCCAGAGAAAATGTGAATTCTCCTTTTTAGGAGAAAATAAAAATTTAATTGGACATGGCCCTAAGCAACCTGCCATAACTATACCTGCTTTGAGGAGCAGGTTGGACTAGATAACTCTGGGTGTCCTGCCCAACCTGGAGGATTCTACAAATCTCACCTGATGTCCTGTGCTAAAGTCCATGGCCCTTTGTTGATGTTTTTGTAAGTTTTGTGGCCATTGATAAAGTGAAATGTTTGAATGAAAAAGATGGAGCAAATTTGATTTACATAGGTCATTGCTACAAGGACAAAGTAAAGTTCATTTAGCTATGTAATCTGAGAAACAAAAACTTAGAGATATCTTTGCATGAGTTTCTAGATTATTTTAGAGTGATTGCTATGTATGGTATGATACGTATTGATAGACATATATATGATATGTGTGGTACATATTTGCTGTTAATGTCCTGGAACACGTATTTACCTACCATGTATGCTTTACAGATGTTAACTACCATGTGATAATGAAGGAGTTAACCTAACACAAGAAGAGAGGAGCTAGCTTTCTTGACTTTCAGAACTTAAATTTTAAAATATACTTAGACTGCTGAGGTGTACCAGTAGCCTTAACTTCAACATAGTAAGGTTTAGTGGGTAGGAACACAATTGTGCAGTCTTAGATTTTTCATTTCACTTTTTCATGTTTTTATTACTATTTTGGACAGCACCTGATACCTTATATTTTTGTTCAGAAGGAAGAGTGCAGAACAGTAGTTTTCTCAAAGAACCAAACTGGAACCATGGCATGATTTTTCTTTTGTTCCAGCACAGTAAGATTCAGCCTTATTTCACCTATTATTATCCTGTGACTATATTAAAAAAAGAAAGAATGTTTTGCAGTTTTTTGAATTGAGAATAATTTTGTCTTTATCTCTATCTGACATGCCTGTTGGATCTAAAAATCCATTTGCTATTTGGCTGGCTGAATTGGGTGTCATTAATAAGCAGCTGCTTCATGAGACCTTCCTTGTGAAGCTCAGCCAGTTAGTTACCTCTGTGGTTTCACATCTGACCCACCGTTTCCTCCTACAGTGGCTTGTTTGTTTGTGAATCACCAGGGAACAGCGAGTTGGCCAAGCAGCAGCTCCCACAGCCGTAGGTTGTGACACCTCCCTCACTCCGGCTGGTGTCCCACAGGAAGCGAGAAAAATCTGTAGCTGTACTGTCTCAAGTTAAAATTTCTGACAGCATAGCTCACATTGTCCAAAGAAGCCATGTGTGGGGACTTGTTGATGCTAGAAACCGATGTTCTTACAGAACGTGGCCTTTCAAAAAGAGAAGGGGGAGATTGAGTGGTACATGCAGAGAGCCCTGTGCGTCCTCAGCCTTTATCAGCTCTACGGAAGGCAGGGCTATGTGGCTGACCGCAGGTCTGTGGTGGTTTTGAGGAGAAACCAGCAATGAGCATCACACCGGTGTTATCGGCAAAAAACCCGAGTGCTTTCCTTTCATGTTGCAGTGTTTCAAAATGTTGTCTGGCCAGCGGTGTGAACTGTGAATGAGTATTACGTACCATAAAACTTAGCAGTTTCCTGGATTAGACCAATTAGTGTTTGTTTAGATAATTCAGGGCTTCAACGGCTTCCTCTCCGGAAGCCCGGAGACTGAAGTGCTAAGGCGGCACACCTCGGCTGAGCTGCCGGTGCCTTTGCACTGAAAGGCTTGCAGAAGATAGTCACAACTTTGCAAATACGGGTGAATTGCAGATCACATCTTACAAGAGGAAGCGTTATTCACAGCACGTTTCAGTTATTAACTGATTGGAATTACAGTCTTGATTTCATGCAATGCCTATTCTGTGATGATATGTGAATTTGAAGCCCGGAATTTGAACTTCAGACAGCTTCACAAAGTCTTTAGGGGTTGCAGAGGTGAGGAAGGGTTATGCTATTTTAGTACCTGTTTTCATTTGCAATTTTTTAGTACGTTCTGTATTTCCAAATAAAATGGTCTATAACAGGCCAGTAGCATTTATTTATCTGATGCACCTTCCTTTGTGAGTAGATATCTGCTACTGCTGAGGAAGAGCTGGGTGGGTTCTGTTAGGTCCCTGAAAAGGACTTTTCACATTAAACCACTCAAATATGAAGCACAGCAGTCTTGTCTGTAGAGAGTTATTCTAGTCTTAAGGAAATAACTTCAGGAACAACTGAGCCTTGGACATGTGTTTTTCTTTTTTTTTTTTCTTTCCAGTATAATTTCCATACTAGAAAAGCACGCACATGGCTGTGCATATGTTGTTTAATCTCTTAATTGCAATTATGATCAAAAAATGAGGAAGGAAGTCTATGACTAGGAGAGCAAGGCAGAGGGAGGGAGTTAGGCATATGGGTTGCTGATATTCTTGACTTCTCCTTCAGGGAATAGATGTCAGCTGTCATTCCCCTTAGCCTGGAAGAGATTATATCACAGGGATATGCTTCATCCATAATCATGAGATCACCTTTTCTGCTCTTCAGGGAGGTGAAGATGGGGAAAGAAGTTGTTTGCTTCCCTCAAGAGCCTGGCAAATAAGTTCTAGCAAATAGCAAAAACAAGGGGGTGGGAAAAAGATACCCAAGGGAATCCAGACATGCGCTGTCATAGCTGTATGACGCAAGTGGCTCTTTGAATTGCTGGGATACATGGATTTGTCCTTTCTTTTAAAATTGGTTATGTTTGTTCTCATGCCACCTTTGGCAGTTTCAGGTGGCTGAAATCACATAAGATGCAGGAATGTGCAGAACAATAAAAAAGGTTCCTTGGCTGAGTTTCAGGTTAAACACCTTGCATTTGACTACTCAGCTGTTCAACTAAAGTTAGTTTTGTTTCTCCCAGTATATAGTCTTCTACATTCAGTCTCAATAGATTTGATATGATTTGAAGTATTATCTTCAGTGGGGGAAAAACAATTTTTTTATTATTATTTTACAGGTGGCTTCAGGTGAATGCAATGAAGACACTGAGGTTTACAACATTACCCTTAGTACTGGGGATGAGCTCACTTTAATGGGGCAAGCAGAAATCCTTTATGCAAAATCTTCTAAGGAGAAGTCACGACTCAACACTATCTTCAAAAAAATTGGGAAACTTAATTCAATTAGTAAGCTAGGCAGAGGCAAAATGCCCTGCCTCATCTGCATGAACCACAGGACCAACGAAAGCATCAGTCTCCCTTTCCAGTGTAAGGGCAAGTTTAGCACCCGCAGCCCATTGGAAGTGCAGATGCAAGAAGGTGAGCACACGATTCGCAATATAGTAGAAAAAACCAGGCTGCCCGTTAACGTGACTGTGCCGAGTCCTACACCAAGAAACCCTTATGACCTACATTTTATCCGTGAAGGGCACAGGTACAAGTTTGTCAACATTCAAACCAAGACAGTGGTGGTTTGTTGCGTGCTTCGTGGCAACAAAATTATTCCCATGCATTTTCCCTTGCACTTGACACTTCCGAAATTTACTCTACCCGACAGTCTGGTGAAAGGGGAGCTGTGGCACGAATCCCTTATCCAGCACTGGTTTAATATATGCCAGGAACAGTTTGACATTGATGAGTATTCCCGTGCTGTGCGAGATGTGAAAACTGACTGGAACGAAGACTGCAAGAGCCCGAAGAAGAGCCGATGCACGGGGCACAGCCACGTGCCAAACTCTCTCAGCTACGCGCGGGACGAACTTACGCAGTCCTTCCACCGGCTTTCGGTGTGTGTCTATGGAAACAACTTGCATGGGAATAGCGAAGTGAACCTCCACGGCTGCAGGGACTTGTGTAACGAGTGGGCCCTGTTCTCTCACGATGCTCTTCAGTACCAGGAGTCTGGTGACAGTAGCAGTGATTACCTTTTTCCTGAAGTTAGCGAAGAATCGATGTTTCTGCCTACAAAACCAGAACTTCCTTATGAAGAGCTGTGGTTGGACCAAGGGTCGGGAAAGGCTGGTGATCAGCCTCTCACTCGCTCACTAAGTGAGAAGAACAAATGTGACAACTATAGAGGGTCTTTCCGATCAAAGTGTGGTACCACATCTCATTCTGTGCCTGCGACTGTTGGAGCAACTACAAAGTCTTCAGATGTTTCCCTACCTCCACCTCCAGTGCCTCCCAAATCAGAAGCAGTAAGTCAGGGTTATTTATGCTGGTTTGTTTCTTTTTTTAGCTGGTGAAGTTTGCTTGGGTATTTTTTTAGGGAAGACGTGGGGGAGGGCACATGGAGGGCAAGGAAATGGTGAGACTTAACGAGACATGCAACTTCAACTAGTTTCCTCCCAAGTGTAAGTCATGTCCTAAGAATCACTGGAGTATTTTGAATATAACTGATCTAGTAGCTTAATCCTGATACTTTCAGGTGATATTTATTGGGGTTTTTTTCTCCCCCAAACAAGGTCTAAGAATTGCTAGGTCGCTTCCTTCTGTTGCTTTCCATATCCTCTCTCCATGTGGCCTTCATGTTTTCTCATGTTTTCTGTGGCTGAAGTGTATGGGGCATGACCCCACTTAGAACAGCCTCGGATCTGCTTAGTGTATGCATCTTCAATTAACAGGCCCTAGTAATGAGGACAGCTGGAATTTTTATGAATTTGAAGTGTTTGTTAATGAGAGATTCTCTTCTCTGTTACGAGCCTATGGCAGATTTTGAAGAGTATTAAGTGTCATTGATCTGAAGGAAACTTTATCAAACTAGACCTGAACTAATTGTTCTGTACCACTTATTAAAAAAAAAAATGTTTAAATAGGAACTCTGCAGAGTTGATAAATGAGCATTCTAGAAGACTCAATTTTAAACTAGGCATGTTTCCTGTCCTCGGGTTTCTAATAAAAACTCATGGGAGAAATAACTTCTCCAAACCTGAAATGTCATGGAGACTTCAGAGGCAAAAATACAAATATGTTTTATCAACAGGAGCTTATGTGGACTGGGAGGAAAATTCAACCATTACGTGGTCTCTCGACATAGTCCTAAACATTATTTTTTTAAAAAACATGGAGGAGAAAAGAAAACTACCCCCAGGAAAAAATGTCTAGGAATTGTTAGCAAACTTTGAATGATACAGACTTAATGTCACATGAATCTTGACAGATATTATAATTTAACAAATTCGTTTTGCAGGTTTTTTGCTGGGTTTTTAAATGAAAATATTGTTCCCTTTGCAAACCCAATGATATTTTCAAGAGCATGGCTGCATGGTAAACTGAGACTAATGTAAGACCAAACTGCAGCAAACCATGGTGATCCCATCCCTTTCCAATTCCCATCTCACAGTCCAGCGGCGCTGGCCGTAGCCTTTGCATCACGAGCCAGGTCCCCATCTGGTTGAAAGCTAAGTTGTGTTTATTTGTGCTGGGTTAGCCTGCAGTGGATTGCCGTGGGGATCCCCCCGGCCAGGCTGTGCAGCTGCTGGGGAGGTGTGGCAAGGGGAGGAGGACGCCAGTGCAGACACAAAATGCACAGCTACAGCTCCTTGACCGCGCTGCCAAAACTGCCCAAAAAGCAGCC